CAAACCTACGAGGAGTGGTACAGACTAGAAATAGAACTGAGTAAAGAAGACCATATAAAGTAAGGTCTGATCTAAACCGGTCGATCAAATGGACGAAAATGACAAATTCCTCCACATAAATTCAACCGTTTTCAAGCGTAACACTGGTATATAGGTCATTTATATTGCAAATTATCTTTTTTTTAAAAAAGGAAGTCCCAGATACATAAGTCAAACCAAATCAAACTAAGCCTTGTGTACCTGACTAGTGGATTACCGTTCACGGCATTTTGTATGTCTGAACGATTTTCATCTATCTTAGGTAAACAAAATTAAATATTATTTAAGGATTAGATAAAGTAGCGTACATTTGGCGATCAAACCTTTTCAAGCTATCAAATGATGCACATATTCATTGTTTTTCGGGAGGGAGGCTAATGTTAAATGGCATGAAAACCTCAGCTGTAAGCACGACAGGGAGTCTAAAACGGTTGAATTCAAATAATCCTGCAACCTGCAACAAAAAGCAGCGAGGTTTTTCACCTCAGCTGGCATTGAAAGGTTTGCAAACAAAGTGCCACAGAATTAAATGCAAACTGGGCATCTGGCTCGAGACATAAACCAGTGGTACCGTCAGAATCGTTTAGCAGGATTCTTCAAACACTTACTGAGAGCGTTTTTACCCGCTAATACTAACTAACCGTTACAGCCATACGTGTAAATCAACGAAATGTTGAATATTTGTTAAAATAATGGTATCACAAACTAAGAGTACTAAGGAAACTGTTTCGAAATGAAGTTGAACGTTCATTAAAATCGAATTTTGCAGTGATGCAACTTTCGAATTCTTATGCCTTATGACTGATTTAGAAATAATCTGTTTCCATACTCAGATGTGAATTTGAGGTATACGGCAGAACGAGCTTTGGCTTCTGTGGGTAAGTTCAGGACCTGCTTTCAAATGCTCGTTTGACAAAGGTCAAGGCTCTCTAAGATAAATCGTTAATGAAGGAACTAACAGCCTATTATAGCATTTGTGAAGATTCAGTCATAACCGATGTGATTCGGGCAATTGTGTGGAAAATGACGAACTAAATACTCCACGATGAGGCACACGCTAGGGTTCACACACGAATTCATCTCTGTGTGTTGGTATAGTGAGGGGGTAGATGAAATCTGTTGTTGAGTACCATATTTTGGATGTAATTGGATGATCGAATGGACAGAGAAGCAGACATACAGACGAAAGGATGGGGACGGGGGAAACTGTTGCGGAGGTTTTGCAGTGGACGCCAGTAAATCAATCCAAATACACAAGAACCGTTTTGCATGCGTGCCTCACCCAACATTAAAAAGAAAATCATAAAGTTGGTAAATAAATCGCGAAAGAAATGAGTACAAAACAGAATCGGGAGACAGGAGGTCACATTACCCGGCAGTTTGTTCAGAGTGGTAGTGATGGTAGTATAGAGACGGTCGATAGAGAGCCTGTGTTTGGGCAGATGACGAACAAAGCGGGAAAACAGAGGCGCAACGTAAGGAAAGTATTTTAGTGGCAGTCTGACAGAAGATTTCCTTTCGATATTGTTTGTGTTCAAATCGGTTGTATGTGCGATTGTTTACCCGCTACTATTCACTCCGTTCCATGAATTCACATAATTTGGGCAGAACAATGACTTGCATAGCAAGATCTAGATGGAGGTTATTCAGATCGGGTGTGGGTGACATGGGGACAGATGTTAATCCAATGTGATGGAGAGATCGGTAAGCACCAGGCACACGTAACAACTTCTCTTGAGAAAACCTTTTAACGTAATTCAAAGACGCCTATGTGTAAGAGAGTGACCGCATGTGAATTGTGTGTATCTGTCTGTGGTTTTGATAACGTTTAGCAAGAGAAAAACAATTAAATAGAGCTTCAATAACTCCTCATTCTTTGAGCACAGATTTGATAATCACCGCAATTTCAATGGATCAAATTTTTTCCGAAATCCGTAGACAAAGAACGCTTATTAGAATGAAACTCGGGAATTACCATATTTGCCACAGAACTACTGGTTATGAAAGTCCACAGTATTCTACCGTTGTCTTGCAAACCAATGAGTTCATACAGTATGCATAATTATCCCGGAAGGATGAATGTGGTCTCACAGCTTAACAAGCCAAAAATTGGAGTTCACTGGTAGGAAATATATTTAGTATTGCTGTTTACCGCCTGATGCCGATCACGGAGTTCGAAGCGGTCCAAATTGTGTTTCAGTAAGCTTTTCAAGGATTTTGTTAAACTACTGCTCGGAACGAACAACTGACTGAGTATCAGAAATTCGATGATAACAATGTCTTATCCCTGAAATTCGCCGTTATGGGTTTGGGACGACAAAAGCTTGATTTAAGGAATATAATCTCGACGGTCAAATAACTGGATCCAATAACACTCATTCTGAACTTCAACGACAGTCTTCATGATTAGTGCCATTTGCGCTCTTGAACAAAATTGAAACGAGTGAAATGAGAGTAAGCAAACCAAACGCTTTCATCTCGCACAAAAATGACCACACATTTGTTGAACTATAAAAAGTGTACCTTTTCTGAATTCTTACACAATGTGGCATAATACTTTTTCACATGATGTACTCATATTTACTTTGCATCTTTCTAAAAAGAGAGATCGGATTTTCAGCGCTGAAGAGTTCCTCTAGTCACTAAGACCCCATTGGATCTAATCACAATCGTGCACCGTTTAAACGTTAGCCCTTATTCAATTCAATTACGGAACGTATGTCCACTTTTGCAATTATTTGTCATTAATAAACAAGCATTTGTACCTCAGAAACTGGTTCATTCCATGTTCTTATTCCATCATCTCCGAGCTCATTTTTCATTCCGTTATTCTTGTAGCGGTTGCTAAGCTTTTGGGGAAAGGTTTTACGGCATTCCGCGGCATCAATTTTTATTAAATTTTCTTTTAGTGATATATTATTATTTGAGCCAATTATATTCAGAGATTTTATAAATTTCAGGTCAACATTGTTCGTGTGTGAGCACTGATCGCTATGGTAATTATACATTGAATTGGATCAAATATGGAGTTCCTTGCAGTTTCTCTGACTATAAGGGAAACTAAGGGGAAACTATGCTTCCTATAAGGGAATTGTTATAGTCTCACTTCATTACTTTCCAGTAGTCTTTCATCCTTTGAATCGAAGCTTCCATGTCTCAGATAATCTTGTAAATGAAAGAACATCACTTTTTAATCGGACAGTTGTTTCTCCCACCCACCCCTAGTTAAATAGTTCCTTCCTGCTGTTATGGTGCAATAACCGTAGTTCTCGATGAAACCGACCACTTATTAGAAGGACGTAAAAAGCAACGAGCCTACCCACTTCGATCTCTCAAAACCTTGGATTAGGTGAAAAATCACATGTGTATTTCCATTGAATCTATTCACTACGAAACAATAAAAGCGAAATCGTTTGTAAATACATTTGTTTCTGTGTCTGTGTGCGATACGCTTTGTAAGGGATAAGATCGATGTCAGATGGCAACAAATTCTCCCACTCATAAAACATTGCAATCAGTTTGGCTGCAATGGGCCCTGTTCTCATGGATTTGGGTTGGTTAGTCATGTGGACGTTAAACTACTGAATCCAAAAGGGGGTTACAATACTCCACGTCTTTGACTTCTGATCAGCACGATTAATAATTCACTGCGAACCAATAGCAAAATTAGAGAAAAACAATTGACTCTGTTATTTAGTGCATTTGGCAGGGTAGGCTAAGGGCACGGGGGATAAAACGGTGACGGTGGTGATTATATACCGCACTTACCAATAGAGCAATTGAATAAAATCAATATCAGAACTGTTTTTACATCTGTATCAAATTGGCGAAATTCAGACAATAGTAAAAAAAATGAATAAAAAGAACCGTGTAGAAAGGAGTGGAAAGAAAAGTAATTATATATTACATTCGTTTGCAGATAAGAAGTTCTGTATATTCTCCTTTACAACCGAATCTAATAACGGTGCATTTGTACCAATTACAATGACAATTATTCCAATTTTTATGCAATAAGCGTAAAACCACAATCTCGTTTCGGTCAAAAAGCACACTCCAGTGTGAGGCTAATGAATGCTGGAGTCTTCAGTTCATTCTCGTTATCTCAGGCAACTGAATATAAAGGGAGAATAGTTTTCTCGGCTAATCATGAGGAGTGTTTCGATAAGTTGTAGCCACAAATGAATGTGTGAAGACGGAGAGCAATGAAATATCCAATTCGTAGTCCCACAAACGTGCTAGGATTCAGAAGAAATGAAAATTGATCAAACTCATCTCATTCTGTAGTTAGTTAGTTAGTTTGAAGTATGCTTATCACATTGTCCAATCATTACTGACTAGAATTCAGTAGTATTTGATTTCCAGGAATACCGCTTATACTCTCATTCGCGACGGAGTTCGAGGTGAGTAAGCAGTTCTCTGAAACACGTTTAATTCACCATTTCAAGGTTATTAGGCTGTCATATAGGTCTGTTCATTTCCATAACACAATCTTCATAAGTCAATTTAAAAATTGTTGGCACTTAGCTATTATAACAAACCCACGCATGGACGCCGCCTACGCTTTGTACGCGCATGCTCTAACAACTGAGCTACGAGGCCGCACCGATAGCACTGATCAGCTGGTAGAGCATGCACATACAAAGCGTAGGCGGCGTCCATGCGTGGGTTCGACTCCCAACGAGACTACTGAACTTCTCACAATCGACATACAAACTTCAAATCTGCCAAACAACTATTTGAACTATTATAACAAAGTTTTGTGGATTTTGTGGTCGAACCTTTGGGAACATGCTTACCCCGTTGAAATCCCGTTGAATGTTGAAATTCGTATCTCTACAGTTATCATTTTGGGTGCACACAAGACACATTATCGCTGTCGGCAGCCGGTTTTCAAGTGGAAAGCATTTACACAACTCGGAGCCTGAAGACGCACAGATACGCAAGGGAAAAAACGAACTCACAATTTGTTTTTTCGTTGCGGTGTAAGGCAAACCACGAACACGGACCACCACTTGTTCACCACTGGTTAGTTGATTGAGAAACTCGACCACGGGCTGTTGTTCGCCTACATCAATTAGGATGGCACAGAGAAACCGTTCAGTTTTGAATATGGAATGCATAACATTTGTCTAACGATCCATGCATGGTACTAATACTATTCTAGCAGGGGTAGGGAATTGTGTGGGACCGTTTTTCTAATTAGAGACTTAATACAGTCTCCAAGCTTATTTAAGTAATAAACTATAGAATTAATAGACTGGTTTTCAATGGTTTCATTCACATCTATTTCCAATAATTGTTGCGTAAGTCAGTGCTAAAGCCATCGACTCCCCCTTGGCAGGTTTGCGGATAGAACACATGCATTTAAAAATCTTCTGATTGTCACTCGACCTGAAGAAGTTTTCATTATGTTATATCATAAGACCATAAATGCATAACAAGCATAGAGAAACAGTTAAAAAAATGCTGACTTACATCCAGCGCATTGAATGAATTCTCTACTGGTTGCAGAATAAACCTGTAGCATAATAGGCTTGGATGAGTTTGTTGCGGGGCTTGCTGAAGCGGGCTGCTCTTTTCCGGTAGATTTATCCGCTGGAGTATCTGTTAGGGTATCCGGAAGCAGGGCCCCACAAAGTTGATGCTGATGTCGAACTAAAGCCAACTGAGCGTTCAAAATAGACTCAAATGCCACGATAGCTGTGTTGCTGCGTCGACCATCTGTCAGACGGATAGCAACACCTCCGGGAATCAAATTCAACCCGGAAAAGAAACCGGCTATGATAGACGGAGTCGCACTCCATGGGACTTGACGGACTTCTACCACCTGACCGTCTTTGATCGAGATGTTTCGTGAGCTTTATGAGGAATAGAAGCCGCAAAGGTTGTGTCATATTGCTGAATTATGTATATTCTAGAATATTGCGAAACTAATAGTAACCAATGTTTCTGGCATAAAAGACATAATCACAAGAACCCTAGCTCAAAGTGAAAAAGTGCTATAGTGGCTTAAACTGATTCCAAAACAACTCTAGTGACAAGCAGTGAACTGGCAGTTATGGGAAGATGATAGTTACGAACTACCGACACTTGAAAACCGAGTTTTTCGAGTTTGATGAACCTATGGGACAAGAAACAGCGGTTTGGGCTAATGAGTATCATTCCACGCTCTGGCATGTGTGTGTGACCTCTGTATATTGCAATGGATTGAGCATGTGCCTTGCAGGTTAGCCCATTGGGTTCCTCTGCAAGAGATATTTGCCAAGGCAGATGGTGATACGGATCTATAGGACGTCGATTTGGGTACGGAAAAACTTGATAAGAACCTCGGTCATGCGTGATACATTTAGTTTCAAGGTTGAGAATCATGTGACGAGCATGATTGGTGATAAGGAGCACAGAACGATACGGCTGAAGTCAGTCACCTATGGCTCAACTCCAACGCACAGGTGGTGCACACACATTCTGCTTCCTTACTTGTGATGTTGTTCGCATCGTTTTACTTTATTGTTGAAATTATTGGGGAACCTACGGGGTTAATGATTGCTGGTATGATCCAGAAAGTAGCTTTGATGTTACCGGTCTTTCATTTTTAGATCATGATGTTCTTTGTTTCAACCCGTGTTTTGCAGGTAGAGGCCATTATTTTCCTCCAGCACTAAATTACGCAGAGGTGACAAGACCAGTTGTATCTGGCAGAAGAACAAGCAAACTTCAAATTGTAAAAAACATTCTTGGCAAACTTCCTAAATCACGAAAATAGATATGATCTAACTGCCGAAAATTTGATCTCACATTTATCGAAAATGATGACAATAGGATTAATTGGCCGATAGGGTAAACATAATGACTTACAAAACCCGATGTTCGTATTGAGTCTGCACAACTTGTGGTTCGCACATAGGCACCCCTGAAATTAGGTAAATAGATAATATATCAGTCGGATCGGAAAATTTGTGCCATAAATCACAAAATACTTCAAAATATTTGATGATTCAATGTTGAATATAGAAAGTTAGCTTTACTACTCATGAGTAGTGAGAATATTTCTGTGAAAAACGATCGTCGTTCATTATTTTAGTGGAGCTTTAAATCTAATAAACCCCTGGAAACAAAAGAAACAAACGAAACTTATAAACATATATCAATACGAATTTCATTTATGAATGCCTAAAAACACTTCAGAGATTTCTATAGCAGTCAGTTGATACAACCACAATTTTCACAAAACTCGCTAAAACATCAAACATCAAACGATCGTGGGCAAGTTTGGCACCATATATTTCGTCGCCTCCATTTCACATAGGGAAATCAATTTTACGCATGCTGGCGGATACACTTCACGGAGACACTTTCAATGAACTGAATAGAGAAATTGCAATACAGATCCATGTAT